ACCTGTTGATTTGTTACACAACTGCAAACATTAATCATTACCTTTTTTTAAACTACACTCTTTTACTTTTCTTGTTTTCTGAACTGTTTACATTGAAATCGAACGTGAAGGAATTCAGGTGCCTCTGCAGAGGGGCTTTGTTCTGTTTGGCTGACACACACTGTTTGTCAAACCAGTTTCCGTTCAATATGTCCGCGGGTGTGTGTTAAAATTGGAGGGATGGCAGATGTGGCTGCTGGCAAAGCAGGGCTACAACAGCTGCATATCATGCAGTTTATGCTTTTGTGTAATACATAGTTTTGCAGGAGATAAAAGGAATTATGTGGTTATCAAAAGCTCAAACATAAACTCTCCTAAACCTTTGCTCTCAGCATTGTTGTTGATCATGATGCACACATAAGGGCTTAAGCGTAAAGACAGTCTTACATGCACCAGGGATCGGTAATAATGATTCCTCATTAAGTACAAACTTCAACATTTATCTTTGTCAGGGGGGAAATGACGTAAGATCAGTTGTTTTGGCAGAAGCGAGGTTCTCAGGTAGAATATTTTGAATTGCAGTCTTTTACATTTGGCCCTAAAATACCCAATGAGAAAGCCATAAGTTTGCTGTCTTCTGTTTATTATCAATCAAAGATGTTTTCATCTAATCCGAATTATTTATACGACCTTGTAAATAAATGACTCAGGACTTTACGCTTTCAGTCAAACAGATTCGTTGTTTGTCAAATTTAAAATTTTATTGTTGCCATCTTGAACAATGAGTCTATTGTTATACATGGTTGAACAAACTTCATTATTGCTGTGTTATATTATGCTAAAGCTATCCGTATCTGCTCTACGAGTGACTCATCACTCCCAGCAGAAAGAAGAGGCTGATCTCTGTCTCAGTGCTCTGGTTTTCCATTGTAAATGCACTCCTTTTTACTATCGGTGCCTTGTCGCTGCATGGGCACCATCCAGCCTGAGAAGGCCCTGAACACAGCAGTTACTGTGTTTTTAAACCCATGAATAGACAGTAAAGGCCTTTGTCAGGGAGCTGGTGCCAATATAGCATGTGCTGTGGTTCATTGCAGTGACAGCTTCTTTCTGAAGATAACAGTGTGTTCCAGCTCCTGCAGACAGGGGACAGATTTAAAATAGAGCCGTAATCATAGACTCAGATGGAGAACAGTGTCAGATGTGTGCATTGTTGGTAGCTCTAATAACAAACTACAAAATTCAACCTGTAAGGCAAAGTGTTTGGACGTGTAGTAGCCAAGAATTAACCCTTTGCACCAAGATACATGAGCTCTGTACAGAAAACTTTCCTGTTGTGTAATCTGTAAACATAGTATGATAACGTTTCAGCCTGTTACAAAGATAGTGATCTGATTTCGAAACTCTTTGTTTTGGCTTTTATAATTTGTTTCAGAGAACTGAACTTGATTCATGTTGCCTCATCTATTTGTTTGCTTTTTTACAAAGCACACGATCTAGCCCTCGATAGCCCCTTTGCCAAACCAAGCCAACATCTGTGCCGTATTTTACTGTATTTAAGCACTCATTTGGCTTTGAAGAAGCAAAAGTGGATCTTGGTCTTCATAACTTTCTTTCTGTATATGAACCATGTCCGTTGCCAGCCTTTACCTCTCTGGTGTTTTTGTTTCGTATGAATGCAATCACTCTGGTTACTAGGTGTTCCTGCAAAGAGGAGATTAGAGACATAGTGCAGGCAAAATATTTTTTAATCGGAAGTTTTGATATGTAGAAAGCTGTGTGTGGCAACATTATTTTTGTACTTGTAGAAGCATCAGAAGTACATTATTTTATGAGGCTTAAGATTGTTGCCAAAGAATCAATCTGTGGTCGCACTGTGTCTCCCACACTGAAGGGTTTTTTATAATGTTCCAAATGTGATGTGATCTCTTGTTATTCTGTGGTTTTGGATGTTCATAGCTTTGCTTGGATGACCGAAAATTTTGATGCCTATTAAATGTCTGGCCTTTGGATGGAGATTTTTGATAAGCATCGGGTTAAAATGAAGATCATGTGGTGTTATCGAAGGGAAAGGAAGTTTTTAATAAATATCCTTGTAGGTGGTCCTCCTTCATATCGGGTTCCCTTATCTTGTCATTTATGAACTGCTACTCGCATTTCAATATTAACAAGCACAACTGTGATAATATTTCCTTGAGGGTGAGCTAATCCTGAGAATGTTCCGTCTGTGATGTTCGCAGTCTGTGAGGGGAAAACTGTGAGTTTCCATTAAGTCTGCAGTATTCCAACATAGCCAAGCTCAACAAGGGAATAATCCACTAGTGGAAGTGAGAGCATGTGTCCGTCAGGGCATGAGAAGCAGGATAGGAGCCCCAGTGTGGCCTTCCGTTGACACATGGAAACAATGCGCTTGGCAACCGTTCAGTGTTTGCAGGCTTTCCTTGTATGTTATTGCTATATTAGATCACCTGTTTTATTTAGATGGGATATATCCATATAAGCAATGGAGATGCAGCTTGCCACCGGACAATTCTATGAAACAATCAGGTGTTTGGTGTGTAAAGGTGTAACAAGATACATAAAGTAACTGCTGCACTTATTATCCAACAGTAATGACAGCTGATATAGTTTCTTGATTTGCGCCCATTTGAATTTTGTGAGAATGTTGCCTCTGTACCATATTTCTCATCATCAAAAATATCAACAACATCACTTTGATTAAATATATCATTAGAGCGTAGTCATTACAGCTCTATGGCATGTTTTATTCTCTCTTAATTTCTTTTTCACGGAGGCCATGTTATCTAACTTTCAGTAATTATGCTAATATGTCATCCACCCAAACAAGGTGGAAGTCATTAGCTGGATATGAAAGTGATTTGAGAGCCTTGGAGCGATTTTGTAGCTTGAGTAGGACCCTTGTAACTGATGTGTGGATGATTTCTCTGTGCCCTGCAGTCGTCTCTGTGAATTTCTCGATGCAAGAGCTTTATTTGATCAAGGTTTGAAAGACACACCCTGTTAATTATAATTTCGTTCATTTAATTTAATTCATCAAGTGTATTACTCATTTAATACCTTTCAAGGGTTGCATAACTGTAATTTTAACAGTGTGAAATAGTGTTGAAAGCAGCCTTTGGCAGCTGAGTGCTGACTGAATAGTGCAAAAGTTAGTCAGAAACAAATGGAAGCTCATGCTTAAGTACCTCATAGACTCCTTCACTATTCATTGTTATATTTTCATATGATTGTACATTAAATTGAAGACTATATACAACCCCTAAGCCATGCCGTCATTGACTGGTGTTGGATGTTATAAAATCCATAGGGAGGTTTTCAGAATGCCGCAATTGACTCTCGAACTTTCAGTCAGTTATTTTATTTTTTTCTTAAATAGCTGAAACAGAGTACAGAAAGGTTGCTCCCACACTGAATGGGTGAAACGGCTCATTCCTCTATGCCTTTATATTATATGATGGAGCCTCTTCGTAACTTTCATCTGCTTCCAGCGTCTGTTAAACGTCTTAGAGCTTCTGTGTGGTAGTCTGCCCTGCTGACAAGGTACAAAATCCAGAACAAAGTTTCTCTAAGCTACCAAAACAGTAAAACTGAGCTTGTAGGGAAACCAGGGTAGATACAGATATGCATCATCAGCAGGAAGAATGGGACATTCTGGACTCAGTTCTGGAACACTCAGTATGTCTTTGTGCTCTCAAGCACCACTGAGTGATTTCACCACTAAAATCAAAAGAATGTGACGGTAATGACTCATTCTGTCAGTTTCAACCCATTCAAATGTCAGAGATGGATACATTTCTTATTTTGTCTGTTTTAAGACAGGAGTACAGTGACTGTCGTCTCTAAAAAGGCATTTGTAGACATAACCTTTACTTCAGGGAAATTGAATGCGGAGATGTTTGCATAAAAAAGACAGTGACAAGATTTGTGTTTCAGTTATCAGTCTTTCAGTTACAGGGTGTGAACATGAAAGCCATCACTTCTATTTGATCAGTCTGGAGAAAGCAGTTACTCTGCCTTATTGCCATCGGCATGACTGAGAGGCTAATTATTCTTGTAGCGCATTGGACGACCTCAGTTTATGGACTGCTGTCCTTCAACACACTGGTTAATCACACCCAGAAGCCATCTTCTTTATGAAATATTCTGCTTTCTAGAGCTCCTATAAATCATCTCTCTGACCCTGGACAGACCTAATCTCTTGATTCATCCGTTTATGCCTCTGCTTGTCTTTCTGAATGAAAATAAACAGTCAAAGAAAGGATGATGTCTAGAAGATTAGTCTGCTTCCCCATAAGTATCTTTCTCCCTCTCTTTGTTTGTTCTAGCCTGGAACCATAGGTCAGCACCTCAGTATTAACAGCAGCTGTCAAAATGGATACACAGCATAACCAAATATCCCTTATCTCCTGGGAGTTTGCAGAGAGGACGCATCACCTGATGTAACATTCTGCCTACCTATAATTCCACAGAAGGGTGTGGTGCGTCCTTCACTAACTGAGCCCAAACAATAGGGGAAATGGAACAAAATAGTCAGCGTGGAAGTGTTGGTTTTTGGAGAGTTGATAGGAGCGGCAGTGAACGTGACCCAGCCACCTTCCTCTGTAAATGACATGATGGCAAATGTAGGAGAACAGAAGAAGAATAGCATATTGTTGGTTTTTATTCTAAAATGTAACTTTATTATAAAGTCTTTTAAATTACATCAAAGCAGATCATTTGTTTTCTTTTAATAATGAAGTCAAAGCCATTTAGAGAAGGCTTGCCTTTTTGTGGGCCGTGTCCTATCATGGGATTCCCCCCCAAAATTTTTATTACTGTTGGCTCAAATGAGAAATTGTTCACTGACAATGATCCCTTTGTTTCTGCCGCCCACAGAACAAAGCTTGTGACCTTTGCTTATCCAGTATGTTTTTAATGTAATGAGCTGTCCGCATATTCATATCCATTCCAACAATTTTTGGGGAGTTAATGATTACTCCATTCCGCCTCCCCTTCAACAGTGACGAATAGGAAACCCTCCAGCGTATCCATAACAAAGGTGAAGCAGTTCCAGGGATCTTCTGCTTTTGTAAAAAGGTCACAGTGGACAGTTGATCAGCTACGACAGGTCAACGGCATTGACCCCAACAAAGTATGTTATTGATTTATTTTTTCCTATTTCTTCAACTTGTGCTAAGATTTCGCTTCCAGAAACAAGTTCAGATTCAGCAAAAGCATTTAGACCCATTTATTTTTCACATGCTGTCCTTGCTCCATCCTGTCACCTCTAATCCGTGCCTCTTTCATTGTTTGCTCCAAGGACTGTCCAGAATTTGACCTCACCTTTGACAATGCTTTGGACCAGTGGGTTGCTAGCTCAGCAGGAGAGAAGTGCATCTTTATCCAGATACTTCACCACACCTGCCAGCGCCACTGCTCGGCACAGAAACCAGAGTTTGTCAACTGTCAGTCGAAACTGCTTGGGGGTAAGACCTTTAAAAAGAATACATCTTTCAAAAAACAGTTAACTTCGTTGCTAATTCTATTCAGGACACAGTGACTCTGCAGTGCCTTCTTCACTGCTGTCACACTGTGCTGTAGGCCTGTCTGAATCTAATTATGTATGATGACAACCAGCACCTGGTGTGTATGAAAATGTATGCTCATGTCTTGTACACAGCATCTGTTGTGCATTCTCCAGAAGTGATGTCAAAAAGCGTGTCAATTAAAATGCATCAGCTTTAACAGAAAGCATCTGACAGGTTTTACAGCACAATGAGATAGCAGTCACAACTCTTAACCATAACTTTCTCTAATTTCAGTGTGTGTCTGATGTTTGAGACTTATTATTTCTAAGACTTTCATACCTCAAAGTAGCGCAATACCCCAAAGTTCTCATTATAGACGTCACTTAATTTCTTAAACTCAAACTAAATTATTCAATGTGGAAAAACAGTCCATTTAAATCTGACATTTACTCCATGAAAGATTCTTGTTTAATGCCCCAATTAGTAAGTAAAAAGACAAGCTCTTCAAATGGTCCGAAACATATACTGGAACTTAAAGTGTTGCACAGGGGAAATGTAAGGGTTTGCTTTCTGTTGGAGGATTGCTAGTACAAATGTGAATTTAGCATTTTGGGTGGCTTAATCAGATATTGATCTGTTTACATGCAGCCCTCATCCCTGAACATCATTCAGCCTGTTGAAATATTCATGGAATATTCATGAAAGCATGTCCTAACCTTCCTTCTGCATTCTGTCCTTTCTCGCCATATTTCTGAGTTAATTTGGAGCAGAGAAATATTTTTTCAAGCATCCATTTCAAACATGCGTTCTAGAGATGTAGGTGGGACAGTGGTACTGTAGCTGCTTTCGAAAACCCTGTTCTAAGTGTGTGGGAACCGACTATCTATTCATTGATGATAAAGCTGCCCTGTCTCCTGAACCTTTTGTTACATTGCATTGGCCTTCCTCCTACACTGACAGCCCAGTCCATATTTAGCATTCTTCAGCTGACCCTGGTGTATATCATTGTCTCTGAATGTGTAGGTGGGAAGGTAGTGGTGTCCCAAACAGCACTAAACCTGTGGCCTTTTTTTTTTTTTGGGGAGGACAATGGCTTTGGCACAAATGTTGCAACCACACAAAACCAGCAGATGGGAAAAATTACTCCTCACAACCCTGCAGGATTGTGCAGGGTTGCAAACACATTTAAAATGTATGGATTGTTGTAATGTCCACTGTAATAAGAAATGTATCAATGAAATCAATAAAAATATTATATTTGAGAGAGACCATTGTACCAAAACATGGTTTAGTAGAAGCAGTGTTTGACATCAGATCAGGTGGTTGGCCACTAATGTGATTATTAACTCCCTGATCTCAGGAAATGTGGAAGAAGTTGTGCATTATTGATGAAAAACATGGCAGTTTACCACGCGCGTTATGACAGGAAGAACAGGGAGGATGCCAGCCTTCTGCCAGTTCTGTCCACTCCAGTTTAAGTCTCACACCAGTGCAAAACAAAAATCATGACGCTGCTCAGGTGTGGGACCATAACTGTGGGAGACTCTTATCTGCAAAAACACCCCAGATAGCAGAAGCTGAAAAGCATGAAATTGATTTCCAATTATTAGGATGAGGAAATGAGCTGTGTGTTTTATCAAGACTTGCAGGAAAACATTTAGAAAAGGAAAAGCTATCAAATGGTTATTACTGACAAATGAGAAATGTGAGTTTTGCAAATTGTTGGAACTTTTTAAGATCCCAATAACAGATTTTATACTGGGTTCTTCAGTCCACAGCTCACGTTTTCAACTGGAAGTATGGGGATTTACTTAGCTCTAAAGAATGCATACAGAACGTTTTTTTTGGAAAAGGGAAGGTTGCTACACTCAGACAGCTTCAAATTAGTTTCTAGGTATTCTGAAAATGAAGATCATGACCCTGTCAGAGACAGCCCTCATCTAGCATGTAACAGTAAATGAATAGCCTGTAACAGCTTGTCATACGTATCACGCCGTGGTGGCCCGAGGTATTTATTTTTCTGTTAATTTCTCTCTTTTTGTAAAGAAAGTGATCTGGAAACAGTGAGAGAGTATTTAGTCTGGTGGATGAGGATCCATTCAGGATCAGGTGTCCATTCCCTACAGAGTGCCAATGATTGACAAGTCATCGAATATTGATTAACATTAACAATCCCCTTGTCTGCAGGCTAGTATCTATAATGTTTATCATTACAATAGATGGAAAATATGCTGGCCAACTTTTCCTGTTCTGCCAGGTGGTCAGTAGTTCAGGTCAGAACAATATTTTAAAGCTGTAAAAAATTGTATTTGTCGCAAAAGGTTTCTGATCATGTAATTACATTGGATTAAATTTAATTTAAGCTAATTATCAGTTGGGTTTAAAGCTTCTCAAAAGTTTTTTGTACATCCTACTTTTTATGTATTAATGTAATTTGAGGTCCAAAAATTCTCCAACCAACAAAGTAACAAAGTAACACATTTCACAATGATTGCTGTGTGATCTGTTTTACTCGGTCGATAATACTTTTACAGTTGCATGATATTCATAAATAACTAAACTTCTGAGTGCCTAACTCTTAATTTATTCATATTATTTGAAATAATTGGGAAGTCTCTAAACTTGAACATCAAAGTTGAACATAATTTCTGATATGTTCTCGTCACAGAAACCCAAGAAGTACATTCAGTCATTTTCCGTTGCAAGGTCTTTTTGAACAGAATGAAGAAAGAATTAGTTTCACGACATGGTCATCTATTAAGACAAGGTAAGCATGAATTAAGATGCAAGAAATAGAAGTTTATACTTACTATATACATGTTTGCCTTCAGGGCCCAGAGCAAGGACACCAATCAGCCAAAACATTAAAACCAATGATGACGTGAATAACTGCTCTGCTAAAAATAAAAAAACAAAAAAACCTACATCTTGGGATTAATAAGGATGTTGCTTTGGTACTTGTATGATGGAATTTGTAGGCATCAAGTCAACTGGAATGTTATGCCTTAATGCCCATAATGCAAGAGATAATTTTTATATGCGAGTGATTAGTTGTATTATTGGACTGTAAGGAAGCAATTTTCTTTATGCAGTACCTTTCAGTGATGATCAAATGAAGGCTATTGGAGGTATCCTTCCTGTTCCATTGTGAAACCATCAATTTAACTCTAAAATGGTAAAGTGACTTGGATCAATAGGTTTTATTTCAGCGATGGATTGAGATGACTGACAAATGAAACTCATCGTCTCATCTTTGACAGTTCAGCTTTTTTGTCGGCTCTTCAGGCCAACAACGTACCTGAGATAGTGTTTTGTTTTCTGTGTGCTGAGCACAAAGACGTACCTCCCTGTACATGTGTCTTTGTTGTGTTTGAGGACGTGCTGATAAGGATTTTATGTTTACATCCAAAGGTTATATGTGTCATGCACACCGTCCTGCACCTTCATGGACAGACAGTGTGCAGAGTCATTTACACATTCTGTTCAGAGGCGTACACATGTTGCTGCAAGGGCAGGGCAATGATATCATGGATCCTAACTAATGGTGTGTCAGGATTCAGTGCTGCTCGTAATGCATTGTGTGATGATGACAGTTATCTGATGATTAAAGCCTCTAAGAGCGGCTTGTTCTTAAAGACCTTGTACTTTTTATGTCATCACTTGCACAGCTCTGGGTACAATTAGGATATAATGTTCCCTGGTTGTCTCCAACAGCCTTTTCTAAACCGTATGGCATAAACTTCCCTAAAAGCCACCCAATGAAGGAATAGAACAGGTGATGTGATTCAAGTAAAATATATCGAAATGATATATATATATATATATATATATATATATATAAAGTAATGGAAATACATTCAAACAGTATATCAGTCTCAAGGAGGGAATTATGCTGAATTACTATTAGAATGAAGATAAGATCTGAAGTGTATTTATTGTATGTAGATAGAACTAAAGCCTGTAATAGACTGTAACTCCTAATGAGTTACAGGCTCAAAGTGGCCTTTGATTTTTTTTTTTTTTGTGTTTCAGGTGGAAGAAGAACATAAATAGTCATTGTAGATGGGGTAGGATCAAGACATCAATTGTATATGATAAATGTGTAGTTTCTGGAAAAGGATATAGGGATGCATGGAAAATATTTGGAGGGAAAATGATGAGAGGGAGAAAAAAAACAGCTTGATTTAGTGAATCAAGCGTAACTCGTGATGGAGAGGGAATTGACTATAATGAGGAAAAACGGCAGGAAGGATGTGGAGAAAAATGATGGGATTAGGGGGAAAAAATTAAATGGATAACAAACTACAAAGAAATGATAGGTGTGTGTGTGTATATGTGTGCATGCATGTGTGTGTGTATGTGTGTTAGAGGCCGGGGGGAGGTGCCCCTTCTGTTTGAACCTCTGCTATAGTTTCATTATGCTGCCACTGGTAATGTCAAGATTTGCATTAATTAGACTGCAGTGTAGTCTTATCTTGCTGCTGTAGCAGTGAAGATGTGCCTATAGGCCCCTGTCATGTCTACTAGCTATTTCCTAAGGATCTTTTTCCCCCTTATTTTTTTTACGTCATTCTTTTTATAATTAATCCAGTGCAAAGTCTGAAGTGCAGTGTTGTTACGAAAAGACACAGATTGTTTAGATAACAGGAGTGATGTTATACACATCTACGTTATCCATTTATTCGGAGTTGGCTCACTCACCACAATCATTGACAGAATGTTTTATTGTGTTTCTTTTGCTGAATATTGTGCCCACCATTCATGTTAGCTGGATAATACAGGAAATGTTTGATGGAACTTGTGGGAGAGCTGATAAACATTCACCTTATTGCATAAAAGAAATCTTTGTGTAGTGCACCCTTTTTTGAGACTCCCACTCATGGAGCCTCCAGCATTGTTCAATCATAGTCATAATATGATCACACAAATTGTTAGAATGAAAATATATAAAGCACTTCAGCATATATTGCCTTTTGTGTAGGTGTGTGTTTAAAACATTTTTTTACTTAACCTTTCATTCTCATAAATCCCATATATTTTTTTATTGTAAAAGGCTGGATGATGTTTTCTCATGATAGCCATCAGAATCTTTTCTTAAAATTCCAGCAGTTCAGCCTGTAATCTACTACTTGGAATCAACTTTACAGTTGTGAAAGGGAGGGGGACCCACATCCTGGTTCTGTTTGTCTTTGCACACAGCTTTTAGTTTTTGGAATATTTTCCAGCAGCTAGCCCTTCATTCAATCTTCATTGTTTAAGAAATCTTGCAGAAGAAAAACAAAAATTCTTGTGCATTGTTGAAATGAACATGTCACAGATTTAGTAAATGCTTAGGAAATGCTTCTATTCAATATTTGACTTATAAAACAATGAAACTCTGGTCTCAATAAATTGTATGGTCAAATGTAAACCAGCCAGTGAACGTAGAATGGAAGGTGAGTGTTTGTTGCTATTCCTTTTGTATAGGGATGGCTCATCACCTCCCACTTTTTAAGATTGAGACACAAAGACACAATGTGAATCACAAAAATAGCACCACATATCAACCCCTAGACATGTTTCTTTCAGGCTATGGTTCACTCCCCTCCTCATAAAACAGCCATAATGTCCCCACCCTGCGTTTCTCTAATTATATTTCAACTGCAGTCCTGGGGGAGCCTATCTCTCAGCCTTCCACTGATTTTAAGGAACAGAAAAGAGGCAAAAGAAAAAAGAAAAGATCTTTTGAGTATGAGGTGTGGACTGGATGATAGGGGTTGTGCTGTGGATGCTACGACTTACACTCCCTGGACTTCCCTGAAGGAAAGGATGATTAAAAAAAATCTGTACAGATATAGAGAGATCTTAGAATATCAGAGAAAAAATGTATTTTCCTGAAAAAAAAAAAGTTAAACTTTTTGGCTTATCTGTAAATGAAGTGAGTCGTGTTGGCAGAAGAGTAAAGGATCACAATACATATTTTCTTAACAGCTCAGAAGCTTATTCATTCAGTGGGCCAGATGCGTTTAACATGTGCAATATGATTCATTTGGTGTAATCTCTCCAAAATTGACTGAACGACGTACTTGGAAGTTTTTCGTGCCATAGTGAGTACAAACATCTATATGTGCGCCCATCTGTGTGTCTGCAGCATGGGTGTGTCACAACTTAGATTACTTTGAGCCTTATCAAGTTAACTTCCATTGAAGGGCCGCCAGCTGGCCTCTCCTTCTGCTTTTGGGTTGTCGTATAATCCAGTGCAGTGGAGCCGTCCCAATTATCTGTCAGTCAGCCTACCTGCCCTGTGCCAGGAGACATTCTTTTACAACATTGCAGCTTCCTGTGGGAAATGATAGAACCAGGCTTGTCAGGTGTTAATACACTCAGTACCTTTTTCCTGTTTGTTTTTTTCTGTGTGTTCCATCTCGTCAATTTAATAAATGCTTAGAACTGCAAGTCCCCTGATGGGAACACAAACAGTTGAGTAGGTGATATGTTTAATACCGTGCAGATGTCTTCCTAAACTGGCACATGATGTACAGTAACTGCTGAAAGCAAGAATCAGCAGGAAGTTTGCCGCTCCTTGTGTAGTTGTTAGGCAGCTCTTTAACAGCACCCCCAATGTGTGCAAGATTAATGGCTTGTCAGAGAAAACATCCGCGAGGCTGCCACTGCTATCCGAATATTTGTGTTCTTTGTCTTTTATCCACCACTGGTTCTCCAGGATGGCCCATGCAGCTAAACATAGAGGAGTGAAAAGGCTGACTTTCAAAGTTGCAAATTGAAGAAATGTCTCATTCAATGACAAGCATCTTGAAAGGAGGCAATCGTCCCAGAGCTACCCGAATTGTTGTTCTATACTCTCAAGTTTGGAAAGGTTAATTTCCCTTGCTCTTTACTTGAAGTAAATCAGCTTTGAGGAAAACTCATTAGCCACCCTCCCACACTGCACCTGCTGGATACCATTAGTTTTCATGGGTTTGTCGTCCACCATTATCACAAATGCTCAGCGACACTGATTGCACCGCGGTTATGTAATGTTGGACTCTTTCATGACAATAGGTCACTTGCATCATGCTTTCCCACTGTCTTTTTTCTCTGTTGTACCTCCCTCTCTTGCCCGCCGTTGCTGTGTCTGGCTTGCCGCGTTACTCCCACCTTTATCTGCAGGTAACAGTATACTGCATTCAGCCGCAGACAGCGTGACCAGTGCTGTACAGAAGGCCAGCCAAGCCCTCAACGAGCGCGGGGAGCGATTAGGTCGGACTGAGGAACGGACTGCAGAGATGATGAACAGTGCTGAACAGTTTGCTGTCACTGCACACAAGGTGAGACCATATGTAAGCAAAATGCATAAGGTCAGGTGGGATCACTGCATCTATTACAATAAATTAAACCGCAACTCTATCTTCTAATCTCATCTTAGATATTGAAAACTACTGTTTGCTGTTAGTCCTTAAACATAAACATATTTATAAGGGCTTCATAATGGCATCACTCTCTTGGCAATGTTGCTCTCTGCTGTGTAGGGATAATAGTATTTTTCTTCCCACCTCCTTTAATCTCTGGTGACTTTCTATTGAGTGTGCTCTCATCATCATTGACTCTTGCTTGTTAGGAAAACTAATTGCATGCTCATTGACTTTATTAGTAAATCTTTCCATACCTGTTCAAATTCTGCCCAATGCCCATAGAAGTGGTGGTACAGCATTTGAAAGAAAATTCAAAAGCCTTGTATGACCCTCTTACTCCTAAACAGCTGAACTTCCCTTCTGTGATAGATAACAAAACTGTGAGAAGCAGAGAAAAAAAGCCATTGCTTCTGTTTCTGGGGGGAATGATTGCATGCTACTCACAAAGAATCCCTCATTTGCTGCCTCTTCTCATCTCACTTGATTCCATTGGCTGTGATATATTTTGCCTCATAATTCATTTATTGTGTTTGTTGATGTTATCAAGAGACATACCGTTTGTCAAAACTGCAGTTTTGTGCATCTGGCAGCTTTAGAAGATGACGGTGATTTCTAACTTTACATTATTTGAGGATGTATTGTGATGGCTTTGAGTCCCCTTGGTTCTGTGTACAGGGTTAAGTTGGTTAATTTATGTTTTTTTTCAGAACACACATGCTATCTAGCATTCCCTCAAAATATGTAGGAGTAGAAATTCTGCTGCAGAGAGTAAACACAAAGTGATAGTGAAAGCTAGATTTTACATTTAGGCACTTTTCCATATAGAATGTTTTATCTTGCAATTTCATTTTATTACTATGTTTAAATGATTTTTCATAATCTTGTAAATTACTGTTGACCCTTTCTTACATATAACCTGTCGTCCGCTTATGACCAATTCTGATTTAACTAGAAATGGTTTTAAGTGAAAGAGAGCATGGTGCGTGTTTTTGTTTTGTAGTGAAATGAGGCCGCAAACATCTACAGTACAGTGTGTGGATCACCCTCATTCTGTTCCTCTTAGTCCATCTCTGCCATCTAATTTCTCCACCTCACTTTATGACAGGAGGCTCAGTTTGACCAAATAACTCCTCATTTCTTTTGTGCTGCTCTGCTGCCCCCTCTTGATCGATATGTGGAATACAGTCCTCCCTATTCCACAGCATCAGACTCTGGACTCACCCTGTTGTCTGTGTGTATGTGTTTTCACATCCCGTTGTTTTTGTATTAGAATGGTGACCTTGTCACCTCTTTAATGAGGTTCCTGTAAAGCCCACGAGAGCCTCTGGTAATGAGATAGATGATAAGCATAAAATACCGAGAGCCTGCCTGGAAAAGAACCGGACTCACAGCTTGACATGGTCAGCCTTATGAAATACCATATGTTTTCCACATTCTCTTATTGTGTTTCATTTAATAGTCATTAAATTCAAGTTGGCTTATTAAGCTTTTTGAGGATATAACTGATGCAGTGACATAATTGTCAAGTGTTCTCACTGTATTATCTTGCATCCTCCACCCACTTTTTCTGCAGCTTGCCATGAAGCACAAGTGTTAGACCACTGCCAAAACCAACTGGGCTGGGGGGGTGAAATGCCAGTCGCTGCAGGAGAAGGATTCCAGATTCGATTCTATTTTTGAAATTTTAATATGATTAATATTTGTTACCAGTGTTAACATTTTGATGTTTTGGTTTATTGTACCGTGGGGCATCTCATTGCTAAAGAGGTGACACATCACGCAGAGATGAGGAAATGATGCAAGCAACTGACTGTCAGCAGGATGTTCCAAACTGTTTGCCAAAAAGTTGTACGTTTTTGCCATGACTTTACTTACTGTAATGAAAGCCCCGCAATGGTCTTTTTTATTTGAATTTCCCAGACACTAATGTGAATATGAACAGGTTGAACAGCTTGTTTTCAAATATGATGCGTAATACATGACGACCTTAATGTGAACTCAGCCTTAAAAATAGCATTTTCAAGACGATGGGATTTCCACTGACAGGGGAAAATGTAGTATATTTTCTCCTGTCAATCAAGTTTTTGATTCTTTATTTTGATTCTTTAGATTGGTCAAACTGTACAGTATTGGTCATGAAATTTACATTTTATAAACTGCAGAGGAGACTGAATGGAGTGACTTGGATAGGCTTTCTAAATGATATTAAGATGTTCACATATTTTTGCCCCATATTAAACTTGTTTCTCATCTGAAGCATCTGATATATGGTTGGCAACGATTATGAAAGTGTATTTGAAAAAAATTGTTTTAAGTACAAACTTTTTAAGTATAGTAAACACACAGCATATTAATTCATGTTACAGTGGGTCAGTTTGGTAAACCAGCTTCTGTATTGTAAAAGCAAACTGTAGTGCTAATATCTTAATGTCTGTAGAACTTGAAATGGATTCTGGCTGTACTTCAAATTTAAACATCAAATAGTTGCACCTTGTGTGTTTTTTTTGTTGGTTGTTTTTTTAAAGTGGGTTTTTTAAATGATGTGTACGCTAATAGACAGTCTCAAAAAGAGCAGCTTGTGATGGTTTCTTTTTATCTCCTCCACACTGACCGTAGCCTTGGCTTTTTCACTGGCAAAACCCCACCCTCACACTTGAGATGTATTTGATTCTTTTTATATTTCAAATTTTATAAGTCACGATGTTACAGTACACTGATAACTTTATGTTGCAGAGCACTGTTGAGTTCTTGATGAAATGTTCCAGTTGCCTAACTTTATCGTGCTTTTATGTCTTTCTCTAACACTTTGGATGTTTATTGTTTTAATAAAACAAAATATATTATTTTGCATCATTTTTACTGCCAGCTTTTACAGTTCTACAAAACAATAGTATCCAGAGTTGTACATGTATTTTATTGATTATTCCTTGTTGTTATACATTAGTTCTCAGCTCATATTGATGTTCCTACTTAAAAACAAAAAGGTCTCAATAGCTTTAACTGTCTCAATAATTATACTGTCACTTTTTCCGTTGGATGTGCTCAGTTTGACTTTATGCTTAAACTTTGATCTTATCACTCTGATCGTAAGTCTTTAACTCTGTAATATTTTAAATAAAGTCCGGTCATAATCACATTAAAATGGTCCGTCATTAGTTCTCCTTTATGTGAAGCTCTTACCTCAGTCTGCAGAGGAATTAATTGTGTATGTGTTGATTTTGTTTTTCATCATCAAGCTTTTCCCATTAGTGAGTTGACTTCCGGTGGCTAAAACAAGGTTACAGATCTAGTTTTAGCTTTTTACAATGATGAAGTAATGTGTTCAGTATCTTCTGTATTATATTTCATATGTGTTGATAATTTGAATGATCTTTGAATTTTACAGCATGTATTTATTATTTACTCTATAGAAAGAATACATCTGAGGAAATGGAATATATCTAGCATTTTGATTTATCCCTTAAGTAGTAAAAATCCCACCTCATGCTCTTCTGATTCTTTTTTCCCGAATATAATCATAACAAAGATTTTTCTTCCCTTGAGGAGTAAAAGATATCCCATAAGAAGTAGTTTTTTGCTGTGGCGGTGCACCACGCTCACATGCAGCTGAAACCCTGACCTAATTTAAAAAAACATTAGATTTTCATTCATAATTGCTCATCAGAAACTTTTTTTCCTGTGTAGTGTGCTTACAGTTTTTCTAATCGAAGACTTGGAGTTTGGGGTTTTTAATGATTTCATTTAATGACAATTCACCTTAGAAGTTAATTAGATTAAATGATTTCAATTAATAAGGGAGGAAATAAGAGGTGTGTAAAGCATTCTGAAACAGGAAGTAGGGTCACTATAAAGATTAATATCATCTTAGTATCATAGTAACTTCTACTTCTTCTCCTCTGTTTAATAGTAGTTTAATCGTCCTATTAATGATGCACATTAATGTGACCAGCAGGGAGGCAGTTAGCGCAGTAACAGAGCTAAAACACATGATCTATAACTTTTAGTGCTGGAGAGGGGGAAGTAAGCACCTCATTAGGCTAAAGCCCCTGCACAACACTCTGCTACGATTACTCACTCTGCCATCCTCCATTAATCATTCTTGCCTACCTCTTAAAATCCACCTACAGTTGTGGGTCCCTGATCTCTTTCCTTTCCAGGCTCAATAGCCACTAACATCAAACACATAGACTGCTTTTTTTCCTTAACCTGTTTCTCTATCATATCTAAGTCTAAAGATGGGGTAAGTTGCTATGGATTAGACTGCCATTCTGTTTGTCACAGGAGGATTTCTTGTATTTCTGCTTGACATAATATCACAAGTAGAAGAACGAGATACCTTTTTGATCCACTGATCACTCACCACTAGGGGGCGGACTAGTCTGTACAAAAAGAATCAACTCTCCGTTTAACATTGTTGTCCACTAGTGTATTGATTGCAGATTTTCAGTGTGTAATTTCTGCTTGTGTGCATTGATCCTATGTGCAATCGAATCCACCAATTAAGGGCTGAGAACGGTTCAGTGTCAGTAATTGCTACAGATAATGACACAGCACAGCCTGTAGGCAGTAAGACCAGTATATTTTCCCAGCCCGCTGATTGTTTAGGACTGTTAGAGTATGTAGAACCACCTATATACCTCTGAGTTGTCACCATTACCAGGGTACCATCTTTTCTAACATTTGAAAATAACATAAAGGAAGAAGTAAAAAAAAAATATTTACACTTATTTATTAGTATGAGACTCAAAACCAAATGCTAAAATAAATAAGAAAATCAACAAATATCACCTAGTTCATTTTGATACACAAGTGAATACCCCAAAAAGATCACGGATAAGTGTTTTTGGATACCTAATTTTAGTGTAAAACTGTTTCTAAATATCTGGAAATAATCGGGAAAAAAAATCATGTTTCTGCCAGGTCTTAGAATGACATTAAAACAACCACTGAGCAACAACACATGATATGTAATACTCTATGTCCTTTTTATATTCATGCAAATATATCAGTTGCAGAAGCAGACTGTGAAAATCTAGAGCCATCTTTGTTGCATCAGGTAATCGGGTGATACAAATCCTTTGAATTGACCAGCAGGTGTGGATATCTTTTATGGAAGAGAATTAATTCATTATTGTGATGACACAATACATTAGCAGTAATTTTAGAGATATAATCTTTGAACGGGTATAAGGAGGCTATTTCATATTAGTTAAAACTCATCATTCTAAAGTGAAGAGGGTTATTCATGAGTGAAAAGCCTCAGAGAAATTACTCTGCAAGGTTCCCAGGAGATAGGCTCTTCATTCAAAAAGAGCATGGGAGGGGCTTAGCTATCTGAACAAACCACAACTCCACTAGAAAATGTCCTTAGGGTTGATGAGACCAAAGTGGAAATGATTAAGAAAACAAAAACAAACTAAGAGCCGTATATTTGCACTGACACTTCATACTGTCTGTCAAACACCGCAATAATTTGGGATCCTTCAAAAACCTCAACCTGAGTGAAGAGCTGTGTACACACCAGTCAGTCTTTCTAACAGTCCTTAAATAGTGATGCCCTGAGGAAGAACGGGTCAGTAATCCTCCACAATGATGAGAAACTGATGGTGTGATATAGAATAATTCACTTTCAGCCTGCCAAAGGTGATTCTACGAGCTTCTCAATTATGAGGAGTGCTTCGGTTTTTACGTCCCATATCAGCATATCACGGTTTGCTATGTTTTATGTCTGTCATCTAAGCTTTTCCAACCACTATTAGACTAGAATTATATAGCAATACGACAAAGATCCAATGATTATGTTTTCGTTTGATACACCCTTATACATAAAACCATAAAAATGAAAGAGGATGCAACTCCATGCGGAAAAATGTCTTTCACACAGCAGGTTACAAGCGTTGGGGTGAAGTCGGGTTCACAGTAGTCGCATGTAAATGAGAAACTGTAGATTCAACCACCAACCTGCTGACCTGTAGGAGTCTAAAGCTTTCCCCTGAGTCACTGCTGCCCATACCTGTGATTAATTATTCTCGCGTGAGGAGGAAAGCCTGCCGGGCAAGACAAACCGTGCAAACTCGATTC